TTGGTGAGGGAGAAGGGAGTGGGTATCATGTAGGTAGCCAGACTGTTCCAGATTAAATGTCTGGTTGATTGGGCCCTTGGCACTAGAGCAAGGACTTTAGGTGCTGCTGGTATGTACCGAATCCTTCAAGGGCTAATTTCTAGCCTTTATCATTTTCAAGATTTGTATTTTACTCTTTACGGTCATCATCTCTGCAGACAATGTATTGGCCAGAGGACATTATGGCTAATGAGTATTAATATCTCCAACCTCCTGTCCCCACATGTAAAATCCTTTCCACCTCAGCTTTTATCATAACCCCCTTTTCTGCTGCCTTCTCAGGAATATTCGGGACTATGTATGTTCTAGTCCTACTTTCTACTGTCTTCATGATTCTAAATCCACCATCCTCTCCCTTCTATTGCCTGCCTCCCACTCGAAAGGTCCTTTTGCTCTGTGTAGCCCTGAATACCTCTCTCCATCAAAGAGAGCCAAAACCAAATTCCCTAGAGCCCTTTACCAGTCTCTCCCCCAGGTACTATGCAATCTTACTCCTTTCAAATAAGGCATCTTTTTCTAGAGTCACTTCATTCCATCTTCAAACCCAAGTAATCTGCTTTTGTTCGATTCACTACGAAAACTGCTCTGATTATAAAGATCACCAATCCTTCCCCTTACTTGATGTCTCTGAAGCATTTTGATGTGTTCTTGAATTCTTGGTACTGTGGACTTGGTTCCCTCTCAGTCTCCTTTAACAGCCCCTCAGCTTCCAACCCACCTATTCATTCATCCTATTCATTCTTATAACACATCCACTATGACTCTCACATCATATCCAGCTTAGACCTACATATCCAATGGCTATTGTTCACCTTTAACCTAACTGTCCTCACAAATAATCTAAACTCATCTCATATAAAGATGAATCTTCCTTCCTTCCCAAACTACTGTTCCACCTGGATTTCCTGTTTGGATCAAAAAAAAAAAAAAAGCATTATTTACTAAGCCAGTAAATTTAGAAATCTGAATATAGTATACTCTGCCCTTTTCCTCACACTCCTCCTCAACTCAGTCACCACATCCTGCCATTTAACAAGAGCATTTCTTTTATGTAACTTTTCCCTAAGGCCACCATCTAGTGCCCTCTCACATGACCCCTTTGCTTCTAGTCTAGTCAAAAAGTGTAGCCCCCTCAAGAGTGCCATTAGCATGACCTGAGAACTTAGAAACAGAAAATTCTCAGGCTGTCCCTGATAATCAGAAACTCTAGGGTGGGGTCTAGTAATTGGTGTTTTAATAAATTCTCTAGGTAATCCTGAAGCTTAAGTTTGAGAACTGCTGTTCCAGTCTATTCCCCACTAATTGGTTCTCTAAATTCTTAACGTAGCCAACTTGCAAAACAACCAAATCTGGTCATGTTTCTGCTTTGCTTAGAAGCCTTCACTGGCATTTTTGACTAAAGGGTAAAATCTAAATTTCTTAGTATGGCAGGAAAAACCCACTAGGATCTAGTTCCTGTCTATCAGTTTTTAAAAATTCAAGCATAGGAAATCATTTTAGCAAGGATGCATTGTCAGGTAACGATGAAGGGGATGAGCTGTGGAATCACGCAGCCTGGGCTTTGAATTTCCACCTCCCCACTTCACAAATGGCTGCGTGGCCTTGGGCGAGTCACTTAATCTCACTCTGCCTCAGTTACATCATCTGTAAAATGAGAATAATAATGACTTTCATATCATAAGCTTGTTGTGCAGTTAGCACAATACTTAGAACTTAGTCTGGGTTCAGTGATCTTTAACTATTATTTTGATGATTTCAAAAGGAAAAAACATTATTGGAGTTAACCTGGAGTGTAGCAGGAACAGAAGAGGATTGGAATGAATGCCTAGATTAATGGAAATGGTCTCCATAAAGGAGGCCCTGCTTTTCTGGGCAGTTTCAGTGAGTTAAATATGAATAAAAGTGCAGATTCTCAAGAAAGAGGTTCTTAGGTCTGTGGGGCTATTTTGATGAGGGTAGGGTGAGTCTGCTAAGTAGATTGTAGGATGTTATAGGACAGATAACAGTCAAGGTCTTAGAGTGAGAGCCAGGAAAGCTAACTATGAAGGAAATCAGAAAACTAAAAGACACAGAGTAAAGCAGCAAAGACAGGGTAAATAATTTCATGTTTGTTTCTCTGATAACAGTTAATAAAGTCAGAGTTGCCAACTGATTAAACATGAGTGCTAGTATGATTCAAACTTGGTCTGCATTTTCAGAAATGTTGTTAGTTAAGAGCAAAGGCTTTCGGTAACAATGAGAATCAAATTCTAAAACCTCCATCACAAATTAGTTATGGCCCTAGGCAAATTACTTCTCTCCTGCCTCAATTTCATGATCTGTAATATGGGACCACATTATGAAGATTACTATGTATATTCATGGCTTATTGCCTAGTATGTGGGGAGTGCTCAATACATGGAAGCTATTATTATATTAGAAGTACATTAACTTTAATACAAATCTTATGTAAAAATAGGAACCTCTGAAGATTCCTACTTTATCAAAGCAATTATGTTAAAATATTATCATTTAATATTTTGACTAACATTTGGTTATAACTTATAAAACTAGGAAATATTGTAAAGGCAAATGCAAATACAGTCATGTTTCACATCATTTATGGCTTATCAATTTTCACTTCAAATGAGATTAATTTTATTCAAATGCCCATTTAGTGTCTATTAGGTACTCCTAAGATCACTAGGTTCAGGGGAACTACCAAGATGAATAAGGCATAATTCTTGTCCTCAAGGAGAATACAGGTTTGAAAAGAGAAAAGGACAATCTTAATAAACATGATTCAATGCTGTTCAAAAATAAAAAAATAAAACCAAGCTGTATAGATTAAAAGTCTTTACCAAGTGGACTCATTTTTCAAAATCATACTTCCCACTAACAGGAGGTAGCAGCCACTTGTTTTGTTTCTCTGCTGTATTTCCAGTGCACAGTAGAAAGTAGAGAATCTTGCTCCCTTTGTTCCACAGGGTGGCTTATTCTTGTGCATCAGCTTAGTTCAAATGTCACCTACTCAGAGAGCCTTTCTGAGTACTCTATCTAAAGTTTCTTCCCTCTGACTCCCCCATTATTCTCTAGCACATTTCTCTTGCTTCCTTCAGAGTTCTACCTTTGTGCTCAGTGCTGTGATGTGCCACCCTGATCCCCCTTAGGAATGAAAGATTTATTTTCCCAGCTCCTGGGAGTGCTGAAACAGCCCTCTGCTGTTAGTCCCCTTTCATGATTGCCTTGGTTGAAGGGAGTTGAAGTTATGCCCTTTCCAGTGCAGTGGGCACCCAGTGATGGATCAATGCAGGAGTAAAAAGGTCTGGCCCTTCTCTTCAACTTGGGACAACTTTGAAAGGCCAGCCCAGCACCAGAGTTCCTGTGGGACTGGTAAAAGCCTTCCCCATGATTGCACTGCAGCTCAACTTTTTCTATCTGTCCAATCCTGCTTCCTTTCTTTCTTGGTAATGATCCAAAAAGTTATAATAAATATCCTGCCTCCAACTCTCCTCAGAATCTGCTTCCCATGAAACTCAACCTAGGATAATCTAGAAATAATCTTGTTAATTATCAATGTACAGCTGTCTCTTGGTATCCATGGGGGAGTGGACCAGGACCCACCTTGACGCCAAAATCCATAGATGCTCAAGTCCCTTACATATATAACAAAATGGTGCAGTACTTACACATCCTTCTGCACACCTTAAATTGTCTGTAGATTACTTATAATAACCTAATATAATGTAAATGCTATATAAATAGTTATTATACTGTATTGTTTAGGGAATACTGGCAAGAAGAAGTCTACACATGTTCAGTACAGATGCAACCTCATTGAATATCCATTTTTTCTTTTTTTCAGAACATTTTGGAACCGCGGCTAGTTGAATCCATGGATACAGAACCCATGGATAGCAAGGGCTGATTATACTTGTTTAGTGCTTTTCCCTCATCTCTAGAATACAAGCTCCATGGACTCTGGGACCATACCTGTCTTGGTCATTGCTGTTATCTACTAACTCTGCACAGTGTTGTAAACAGACGTATATACTTGTTAGTGGATAAATTGATGATGTTAATGAATAAAACTGCCATATTCAGAGTCTGTGAAACAGCAACAGGATTTGGGCATGGTCTCATGGAAGGGGAGAACGCACATGACCGCAAGGCATCCCTACAAAGTCAAAAGTCCTGTTTCTGCTCTCACAGGGTAGGTAAGAGCGTTCTGACGTCCAGTTCCACGCCAAAGGATGGGCCCCACCTCCCAACCGCCTCAGGTGTCCTGTGTACCCTCTAGACACACAGTGGCTCCTCCCAGGGAAGTAGTGACGAGAGTCACAAAGTTAAGTCAGAAGGTGGCAGCGCAGACGCCAAGGGTGCTTTCACTGGAACACCTTTCCATCCGCTTCACGGTGTGGCCGCGCAGGTGGGAGTGTGAGGAGACCTACTCTTCCAACTCTACCACCCCACACTGGAAGACCTCCTCGCTATCCATAGCCGTTCCAGCAGCAAGAATTTACCGACTAGCGCTATTTTGAAGGCAGGTCTTTTTCTGTCTCTGGAGCCAACCTGTCCCTTGCCCCCCGCCCCGCCCCCCCATATCCTTCGACACCGCGACCTTTGGGAGAGGAGAGGGAGGCGCTTGCAAGCCCCTTCCCCTCTCTTCAGCCGGATACAAAGCTGGCTTTTCCACCTGCGGCTCCAGCGTCTCACCTGGCTAACAGCAGCTGCACCACCCCAGGCCGCCGCCGCCGCCAGCGGGCCCCAGAGGCCGAACCTCACGCAGCCACATCCAATGCTGGTGACCTTCGCCCCGCGTCGGGGAACGGCGCATGCGCAGCTCTGAAACCGGCGCCGAGCCCGCTCCTATGCCTTTCCGGGTTTTGCGTGAAATTCTAGCTGACGACGGCGGCGGCAGTCACTGGAAAAATCAGGGGACGGAGTTTATTAAGCGTCTCTCTCAGCAAATCGTTGCAATTGTAAATTTTAAATAACGTAGAATTTCAGCAGCATATCAAAAGGACACAGCATCTGCCCTTTAGTGCGCGCTGAGCAGGTATTTACTGAATGAATGAAAACGAAGTCAACGGTTCTAGGCTCGCCGGCCTCCCCAACTTGACCAATCACAAAGCGCCTGATTCTGTCACTCACGCAAACGCCCCGCCTCTCTCTGCGGCTGCCTGGAAAACGAGGAGGAAAGGAAATCCCTGCCACAATTTCCTAGGATCGGGTTGAGGAAGGGACATGCGCAGTGAGAGCCGGTCGCCCTCGCCTGATCCTTGGCCCTCGGTCTTTCCTTTTAGGGCCAACAGGAAGGTTGGAAGGTCTTTAACTAGATATTTTTCACAGATTAGATAATTTCTGCGTTGTCTCCCCATCCTAATTTTTCGTGTGAGGACAAAACTGTTATTCTCCTGTAACATTCAAAAGAATTGTGTTGGAAGTTATGTTTAAATGCGGCTATTAAAATTTATCCGGCATTATGAAAGCCACTTTTGCTTTCCAACTTGTCTTTTCTGTAATCTTCTGCATCGAAAATACTTGCCGTCCTTGTGCTAGTAATTTTCCAGTCAAGAAAACGTTTTTCTTTCTGTCACTTCAGCTATTTCGCACAGTGGGTAACCATGATTCGTCACCTGGCAATCACATTCTTTGCTTTCTCAAACTTTAAATAGGCTGCCTCTGTCGCCATTTTTGTTTTGGGCCCTACTTGAAAACCGTAATATTAGAAACGGAGGCCATTTTTCTTTTGGGCAGATTACTTGGGCTATGGCTGGTCCTTAGGGTGTTACCGCCATCTTAAATCCTGGCTCTGGCTTCAAGTCGACAGCGAAGCCGCCCAGATCATCTTGTGTTTGGGCGGTAGCTGTGTTTTCGAACGCGCGGGAGACGCTGGGAAGGGGGAAATGAAGATGAAATGTGCACCCCCAAAGCCTCTGAAGGCTGATTTGAGAGCCTGCTGCGTCTTTAGTTGAGTTTCCCAGCCAGGTACTTATCCACAAGTGACCCTGGACAGTAACAAAACATAATAGCACGAACCCAAATCACGCCACCATCATAGGTAAGAATGTGGACCTTCTGAGCAACCTAAGATGTTCCTTCACTTGAACTGAACTGTTCGCCCATCTCTCTCTTCCCTCCCTTTTTTTTTGCTTTGATTTTTGAGACTTTTCCGAATTCTTCTTCCTGTACTTCCATCTCTCTTTATTGTTTTTGAAAAGCAAAAAAGTTGTTAAACATCAGGGTATGGAAACCTGGGCTTTAAAGTGGAAATATTTTTGAGGAGAATTCTTTTTTAGGACAAAATGGAGTTCAATGGATGGGCCAAGTATTTCTATTAAATTATGGCTGCTTGCATCCATATGTATAAATATAGTCCCGTTTCCAGACATTTTTGGGATTTGACATAAATACAGATTTTGTTTGTATAAACTTTCCATTCATTCATATATTCAGTGCATTTATTGAGTACCTAACTTGTGCTAGGCCCTAAAGATTCAGCAGTTAACTAAAATCTCATGGAGCTTATTCACCATGAAATCTACTATGTTGAGACAAGTAACACAGTAGTCTGTGGTTCTTAGTACTGCTGGACTGTCCAAACAGATATATGCTTTTTTCCTTTCCTTAACCCCTTTTTGCCTGAACTAGGTATGAAGTATATTGACACTTCTTGAATCTTAGACATAATGATATTTGTAAGCCAATTGGCTAATGTTACAAACAATATTCCAATGACTTAGGGCCGAACTGCTCAAAGTATGGTCCACTGGGTGCTTGGTAGAAATGCAATTTCAGGCCTCATCCCAAAGCTACTGAATCAGACTCTTCCTCAAGAAGTACACCCTAAAGTTCAAGGAGCACTGATTCAGGGCATGGGCTAAAGATACAGCCTGCCCTTTTTCAACCTGTGCTTCCTAACCAGTTTCACAATCTATTGTCAGTTTATTACGTTTTAAATGCAGTATTTGGCAAGTTTTTCTGTGCTTTCAGTCCATTGACTTAATGTCATTGTGCCGATTTAGTATTCCAAAAAATTGAAAGTTTTTTTTCATTTCAGTATGCTTTTATGTAACTTCTGTTATAACAATATCTGAAATGTAGAGTTTTTTTAAGTTCTAACATCTGATTTACTACCAGTTTGCATTTTCAAAAAACTTACTATTCTTTTTATATCCTGTATGCATATTTTTACTTTTTTTTGAGACAAAGTCTTGCTCTGTTTCCCAGGCTAGAGTGCAGTGGGGTCATCATAGCTCACTGCAACCTTTCTATTTTTTGTTGAGATAGGGTCTTGCTCTGGCTGGCCTCAAACTCCTGGCCTCAAGTGATCCTTCTGCCTCAGCCTCCCAAAGTGCTAGGATTACAGCCATGAGCCACTGCACCTGGCCTACTTTTAATAAAAGTTGAACTCAGAAGTTTACATGTGAGCTGGGCAAAGTGGCTCATTCCTGTAATCCCAGTTACTCTAAAAGCTGAGGTAGGAGGATTGCTTGAGGCCAGGAGTTCAAGACCAAGTTGGGCAACATAGTGAAATTCCATCTCAAAAAACAAAAAAATTAGATGGGCGTGGTATTGCATGCCTGTAGTCCCAGCTACTTTGGAGTTTGAGGCAGGAGGATCACTTGAGCTCAGGAGTTTCAGGCTGCAGTGACCTATGATTGTGCCACTGTCCCTCCAGCCAGGGCAACACAGTGAGACTGTCTCTTGGGAAAAACAATAATTTACATCTGGACAGCAGTTCAATATTGACTTGGAAAACCTTGGACCATGGTTTACCAAAGCTTTTTATGCCATCTTCTGTGTCTTCCTTTATTTTTATTTTTTTTTTCTTTTATTTTTTATTTACACCCCATAATGCAATGTGTCTTCCTTTAATGAGAAAACTAAATCAAGCTTCTCAGCCTTGGCTCATATAATCACCTGGGGAGGTTTTAAAACAGACTCCAGACTTATATCTGCAGAGATTGAGACCTTCTGAATGGAATTAAAGAATCTGTAAGGAATATGCGAGAACAGAAATGACTTTACATTTTTCATGTTGCTATATGTTACATTTTCTCTCCCTTGTGGTATCACTTAAAATAATTAGGATTTTGAGGTAATGCAGAGAATTGGATTGGGAATATAGTGAACCAGCTTCTTAGTAACTGATTAACTTGTGATTTATTTTTTGTGTCTTTAGCAAGTTGTCTAGCCTTTCTTCCTCTCTTTCTTCCATCTGTTAATTGGGGAAAGGAGAATGAAAGTCAATTGTTTTTTATTTAGTCTCATGTAAATGTTGTGAATTGTAGTGAATACTTACATTCTGTGAGTGTGAGAAAGAATATTAATATTTTACAAGTGCAGTATTCATTGCTTCTGGTTTTCATATACTATGTCTTATATTGTGTGTGGCAGTAGAGCATGATGGGTAAGGAAATTAAGTCTAGAACCAGGCTCCCTGAGTTCAAATCCTAGCTCTACTTATAAGCTGTGTGTCCTTGAACAGATTACTTAACCCTTTGGTGCCTCGGTTTTCTCATCTGTAAAACAGGATTGATGTGAGAACTAGATAAATTGATACAAGAAAAGTGCTTACAGTAGTGCCTGGCACATAGTCACGGCTATGTAAATATTAACGATTATTATTTCTGTTATAACTAAATATTTAGATTTTAAGATTTTGTTCATGTATGTACACTACCAAGGAAAGGTGTTTCAGTTCTATGACTTTTCAGGATGTGCACCTGTTTGGAACAGAAAGTAGTCTAAACACAATATACCAGGCCATGAAGATGCTTTTTTTAAAAAGTCTTTTTATTTTTAAACAGGTTTATTGAGGTATAATTGTCATACAGTAAATGACACATATTTAAGGTGTACATCTTGTTATGTTTTACATGTATACACCAGTGAAACTATCACCACAGTCAAGATAAGGAACATATCCATCACCCCCAAAAGTTTCCTCTTGTTCTTTTGTAATCCCTTGAGCTGTTCTCTTCCAGGCAACCACTGATAAATCGCTGTAGATAAATTTGCATTTCCTAGGTTGCATTCCTGTCTAACTGGAATCTTGTACTGTAAGCTTTTTTTTGGAGGGGGGGGAATCTGGTTTGTTTCACTCATTATAATTATTTTAAGAGTTTTCATCTTTATTTTTGAGAATATCAATAGTTCATTCCTTTTTAATTGCTGAGTAGTATCCCTTGTGTGGCTATGCTGTAATTTATATACACAGTCACCAACTGATGGACATTTGGGTTGTTTTATTTTCAGAATGCTAATTTTCACATGACTGTGTTCTTTCTCAGCTTATTTGAATTGGGGAAAAAAAAAATCTAATTATGTGGTGGCCAAGCCTTCTACACATACAGTAAAAACAAGAGATGACCATCATAAAACATGTTTGTTTTGAAACTTCACTTTCGCTGTTGTGTAGTTTATGAATTGTTTTATGAATAAAACATTGCGACTTTTTAAAAAATGCAAAATGCGTGCATTGACTTTTAAGTGGATTATTATCTCTTGATGTGTGCATGTCTAATGGTTTTAAGCTGCATTAAATTTTGAAAGTCTATATATACTGCTTTTTAGAGATTTGAGAACTAATTCATGCACATTCAGAAACCTACTCATTAGGTAGCAAAGCAGAGAGATTTGTAATGCCAAGCCTAAGATGTCCTTGAACTCCCTATTGTCAGTAGATGGAAGGGTACTACTTATATTTTGAGTTGATACAAGTATATTTCTGGTTGGGGGTGGTGGCTCACACCTGTAATTCTAGCATTCTGGGTGGTCCACGCTGGGGGATTGAGCTCAGGAGTTTGAGAGCAGCCTGAGCAAGAGTGAGACCCTGTCTACTAAAAATAGAAAAATTAATCAGGTGTCACGTGCGCATCTGTAGTCCCAGCTACACAGGAGGCTGAGTCAGGAGGATCGCTTGAGCCCAGGAGTTGGAGGTTGCAGTGAACTATGATGATACCACTGCATTCTAGTCTGGGTGACAGAGCAAGACTCTGTCTTAAAAAAGGAAATTGAATCTTCCTCCTCATTCCCCCCTTCATAGAAAAA